CTGCACCTCACAATTCTACTCAGGAGAGAAAACGGAGAAACGTGTACCAGGCAGCATGTACATGAATGTCCACAACAGGAGAAAAATCAGGACTAACTCAAATGTCCACAGGCACAATGGACAAAAAAAGGAAAAAAAGGGAAATATTTACAATAAAAATGAAAAGGACCTATAGCTACCTGCCAAAGATAGATAAATCTTAGAATCAAAATGTTACGTGACAAAGCAAGTCTAAGGAAACCACATTCAATATGATACCCTAATAAAGAGGGAATATGCAAATTGATAGTCATGCCATCACAAAGATAGCGGCGCCCAGTCCCCTCAGCCCCGCCAGAGTCCCCAGTCCTTTCAGCCCCATGGGGCGGGGTGGGGCAGAAGCATAGTGCGGCTGGACCCGTCCTCAGGTGGGTCTGGCCGCTCCTTGCGCCTGCCACCGGAGTCCCACAGATCTTTCAGCCCAGCTGGATGGGGGGGGGAGGAGGGCGGTAGGCGCATGGTGCGGCCGGACCCGCCCTCAGCCCCCAGCTGCACAGGGCCGGCCTGAGGCACAGGGAAGCCTCGGATGTTGGCTGCCTAGCTGCCCAGGGCAGGTCCAAGGCGCAGGCAACTGCCGAGGCTCAGGTAACCAGGGCCAGCTGAGGCTTGCGCTGCCGGCAGTGGCAGCAGTAGAGGTGTGATGGGGCGTTGCCTTCCCCTGATCACCAGGTCACCTCCCGCCCCTGAGCCCTGATCACCAGGTCACCTCCCGCCCCTGAGGCTGAGGGGACCCCCCCTCTAGTGCATGAATTTTCATGCACCAGGCCTCTAGTCCTTTCTATAAAGTTCAGCAACTGAAGTGAAACAATGCTATGCTGTGGTGAAATATGTGGTAACTGATGTCCCACCTTCATTCCACAAGAGTCAAGGGATGATAAATGCAAAACCCATGATACTGGGTAATGGAAGGGAGAAATTATGGGGTTAGGATAGGGAGGGGTACAAAGGTAGATGTATCTTACTGTCAATATTCTGTTCTTGGTTAAATGGTAGATTCACAGAATTCATTCTATATTCAACTAGAGGCCCAGTGCACAAAATTCATGCACTCGGGGGGTGGGGGGACCCTCAGCCCAGCCTGTGCCCTCTCGCAGTCCAGGAGCCCTCAGGGGATGCCATGGAGGCGGGAGAGGCTCCCGCCACTGCCACTGCACTCACTAGCCATGAGCCTGGCGCACTGACCACCAGGGGGCAGCTCCTTTGTTCAGTGTCTGCCCCTGGTGGTCAGTGCGCGTCATAGCGACCAGTTGTTTCACATATTAACCTTTTATTATATAGGATTATTATATAGGATAGTAATTAGTCTGCAGAACACTGCGTGCGCATGTGCATGTATGTGTGTGCGCATGTGCGTGTGTGTGCGCGTTAGTGTACGCGTGCATGCGTGTGCTCCCTGGGGTGGTAGGGTCACCCAGTTCCTGGAAACATCTTCCTATGCCTACCCTTGTATCTGGAACAAAAGTGCAAACACCCAAACAGAGGGGAGCTTGGTGTGATGCCTCTCCTGCTAACTGATCTCCTGCTTCCAAGACTGCAGAAGTCTCTGCCAGCTCAGGGAAAAATAGAAGAAAAAAGAAAAACAAATTGTGCTTTATGGATGGGCAACAGTTCATAAGCAGTTAAGGGCTTATCAACAAGATTGAAAGTTTAAGAAAAAAAAAGATTCAGAGACTTAATTTTCATCATTCAGGATAGTGCAAATGTTCTTCACTTCACTGAGCACAAAACAATGTTTGAAGCAGACAGACTTCTGGTGCTAACAGATTCAATATGTGACTTTTGACAATTTCAAGAGCTCTTTAGTAACAGTCAGAAAAATCACAAATTTAAAAAATAGTGTGAAGATTAATGTTGATTTAAAATAATCTGACTTGAGCCCTGGCTGGGGTACTCAGTGGTTAGTGTGTCAGCCATGCACTGAAGGGTCTTAGGTTCGATTCCCTTCCTCCCTCCTTTTCCGGTCTAAAAATCAGCCCATCCGTGTGGCTCAGTGGTTGAGTGTCGACCTATGAATCAGGAGGTCATGGTCAGGGCACATGCCTGGGTTGCAGCTTGATCCCCAGTAGGGGTATGCAGAAGGCAACTGATCAATGGCTCTCTCTCATTGGTGTTTCTATCTCTCTCCCCCTTCCATTCTGAAATCAATAAAAATATATTAAAGATAAATAAAAATCAATGGAAAAAAATCCTTAAATGAGGATTAAGAAAAAGATTAAAAATAAATAAATAATTGGACTTGATATAAACTATTCAATAGCAAACTTGCTAACGTTTTTGTAAAGGTACATTATATTCACTTCCTATGAAAACTTCATGCATCTTAATGGCACTAAAGATGAATATGTACAACTTCTAATAGCTATTCCTAATAAATCGGTAAAAATTAAGTTTCAAAACTCCTACACATAACCAAGATTTGTTAACCTTTTTTCTTACCCTCCCTCTCTGACTACAGCTAGTGATGCCCTTTTTAAAACAGGGCATCAGATCTCATCAGTATCCTTTCCAAATCTCCTCAGTGATTTCCCAATCACATTCAAATGAAATCAAAATTCCTTTCTCTGGCTCCGAACATCCTAAAAGCAGTGGGTCTCA